TTCTATGTGAAGAGTTACTGAATTTCTCCAATAGTGAGAAATTATCTCAGTATGACTTTGCTCTTGATTTCATATTTATGCAGCAAAAATATGGCTTGAATAGGTCTTGAATCAGTAGTGAGTTCCACTAAATCTACTGAAGTCTTGTTCTCATATCCAATTTGCAATAATCTTGGACTGGTAGCATATCCTTGCTATCTCAGGTCAAACATTTTGCCATCTCTTTCTCTGAGCAGATTATCTTCTGTCTCAGCTGCAGTGCAAGAGAAAACGCTGGCAATACGAATGTACAAACTATTTCAAATTTGAAACCAGTTGTTTCAACTATTCTGGAAATATTTTGAATCTGAAACAGCTACAACCTGAGCTCATATTACTTCTGAAATGAACAGAACAACTTGTTCCATAGTCAGACAAGTGTTCCAAATGTGAAATATTTTGAACATAAAACATTTTGTATGCATCTATTGGAAATACAGTTTTGCATTTTTAATATTGGCAAGAATTCTTGTCTCATCCTGGCTCCTTGCTAATGCTTTTCCAGCATCTCAGCTGGTTAACATGGTATCTCTATATTTATGTTATTTTTAAACAAAAGAGAAGATTTTCTGTACCACAACTGTTCACAAAAACTGGCTTAAAAATGTTGCAGTGAAAAAAAATTCAAGTAATGACAAAGATGGGGACAGTCTGGTGATGAAGATTTTTGCATTTGCCCATTGGTTAATTGGAATGAGTACCGGTTAGATTATGGAAGGTGATGAGTGTTGTATGGACAATAACAGTGAAGACACCCTGGAGTACTACAAGCATTGTTTTATTTTGTAGAAGGAGATGATGCCTATAGCTACATGGAAGTCCTTTGGCTGGTTCAATAAACATGCATTCATACTTCCATTGCTACAATAATGACCTAATTAGGACTATAGATCTTTATAACATTTCCTTAAATCATTCATAATTATATTATTCTTAATATAAACAAATTTGCTTTGAAATTTCATGAAATTTAATCTTAATCTGAGAAATAATGATGTTCTACAATTTAATATCAATAAATATAAGATTACATTTAAGAAACGTGATATGCTTTGAATTTTATGAAACATGTATTAAAATTGTGAGGTATTGCCTTATTATTCTATTACTGCCTCAGTAAAAGAGACTTTAACTAGTTACACAGAAGGATAAATAAGCTTGAACAAGGAAACATGATTTCATTACAAACTTTAATGTTCAAGTCAACATAAGCACATACTAAAATGCCAAATGAAGTAATCTCATTACGATGGGACATAAAATGAAGGATTGCTTGCTTTTCTCAGAATGTCTTTTAATTGTCCTTATTCCATAATTTTATTGGAACATGATCATGCTTTTAGTATTTCAGTATTCAAATACATGTAGGATTATTTGCATCTATTCAGATTTAAAAGTCTAAGCCCAGTTTATTGAAATGAATGAAACCTTTGCCATTGATTTATGCTTGGCATTAGGTAGAGCTTAGCTCATCATTCTGCACTTCTGTTTGATGATTAGCATTCATTTATTCCAAAGGGATACTTTGATTTAGCATTAAAATGTGAGAAATGCTTATGAGAGATTAAAAGAAGCCAATAATAATTTTCTTCACTTATGAAATATTTCTATTTGACATGTCAAAAATAAACTCACACTTTAAAACTACCTTGAAGAATTCGCAGTTTAAGTACTCCAAGGATGCAACTTCATGAGCACTAATAATTCAATCTTACTTGAGTCACCTTGGAAAACAGCCTGAGCTTAAAATTCAGGTTAAGTAGATATATGAATTTAATGAACAATTCCGCTCACCACCTGAACATAAGTTGCAAAGTTGATGTTGATTTTAACATTGCCTGAAATTTCAAAATACAGACTCATAAATAACCAGATGTATTAGAGCAAACGAGAACATCTAAATAGGGTGAAGATCTAGTAGATGGGACTTCAAGCAGAATACTGTACATGCCTTGTAAATATTAATGTTTTGCATGGTCATCTTTTGCCTGAGTGGTGCAGTGACCTAGAGGTGGAGCTTTTGCCTCACAATCAGGAGGCTGTGAATTTGATCCTAAGTAGCAGCTGATATTTCTCTCTGGGTACGATGAGAAAATATTTGCTGTGAACTCCGCGTTGGTGATAGGAAGGGCATCTGGCCAGTCAACATTCAGCTCCATTTAGTTGCCCCAACTCCATTCTTATGCAAGGGATTACAGGGTCATAAAAATACCAGAAAATGGACATCTTTTGACTCTCCCATATGAGATCAATTTAAGAAAATGAAGTTGGCATAAGAAAGATGGTTATGTCACAGTTAAGAAGTCAGCCTCATGTCTAACTTGGATCATTTTGTGTGGTCTTTTTTTTTTTCTTTAAAGGTTTGTCTTTTCTACAATTGGAAATATAAAACAGGAAAGTTTTATGCCTCTTCTACTGGACAGACCATAGAAAGATCCTTCTTTCATAGATTAGAATTTATAGAATGGCTACATGCTGTCTATATCCATGGGAAGGTGTTTTCTCATCTGAGTCAGAATCATCAGGTTGGAAGAGACTTTGGCGGCCTTCTAGTCCTATCAGAACAACTCTTGATTTGAATATGTTGGCAAACTCTTTACAGAAGATTGAATTCACTGCAGTCTTAGCTGAGTCACCTGAAGTATGAATAGGTCTATCCGAACTATTGATTAGACATTGTATCTAACGGCACAGGTTCAAGCTCATAATACCTTCTTACATAAAATATCAATTAAAAAGGAATGGGTACAAACCCTTATCACTGTCAACTCATAAAACATTTCTATGCCTGTTTTAGAGTTGCCATGAATGGGAGAGAAATTTGAAGGAGCAGTGCAGCAGTTTAAAACCAAAAGTGCATTCCATTCTTATCTTGCAAAGATTGTAACTAAGCTACTAAGCAGAAACTAAGTTTCTGCCAATGAAAATCCCTAATCGGAGAATCTGACTGAAGACTCTCAGCTATGACTGTGTTTCATTGGAGAAAATGAATTATGATACAGCCAGAGTGGTGGGGGGAAAACAGGGTCATAGGTGATAGTAAATTACATGTCTCAGAATCGGCTTCATACAGGTCATGCCGACACGTTTGCTCCTAATAAATCGTTTGAAGTTTTTGAAGCTTGGCTCGAGGCTCATGATTTAATTAGGGCAACTGCTGGAATCCTGACAGCAAGCCGATTCTGAGACATGTAATTTATTTAATGCTCTAAATTTATAACAGACATGGCTTCCTTTGTTTTTTCATTACTTCTGTGAAATGCCGTATATGGGATGTTTCTGTTTATAAAATAGATTATTACACTCTGTTTATAAACTCAAGAATGTTTGTGGGGAGACAGAGTATAATAATATATTTTTCAAACAGAGAATGGAGCTAACCATAGCTGAATGAGAATCTGGTAAACAAATTGGTTCCTCTGGAGTAAGGAGAGGACCAGAATTGACCACAAACACTTCCTACAGTGGTTCACCGCAAGAATGCAGTAAGACAGCAGAGTCCTGGGAGCCAAGGAAAAATCAGCTTTTCCCAAACTGCATTTAAGAGCCTTGAAAAAGACACTTTTCATATTTCCTTTCTTAATCATTTTTGGAAATTGTATGTTAATGGCTTCTTTGGATATTGAGAAACTTTGGAAAGGAATATTTGATTACACTGGGTGAATTTCTTAACAAATCTTTCATGTAAATCTAAGGATTTTAAAACATTTTTTGTTTGAATAAAACAAAATGTCACTTAAATCATTTATTTTAGAAAGTTTATAAACAGATTAAGGGGCCAGAACTGTAATAAGCCTTCTCATGACAAATTGTTGATTATGAAGAAAATATATTAACAGGGGACGTTGAAGTTTGGACAGTGAAAGAAATGAAAACAACAAAAGTTTATAAGGAGGAGAGACCCATTTGTCTCACAATGAACAAAGATATCTGAGTTTGTAAGAATTTAAGGATATTTGGGTACAATACTTGGAAAATATTCTACAAATGGTTTGCTATTATAAATATGGATTTTAAAAAGGTTATAGAAGAAGAACATATCTTACTGGACAAAACAGACAGAATCTTACAATGGATCTACAAATGAAATTTTCTGATGTCTCAAGTAAAAGGGATATACAAATAGTAAATTGAAGATTGACTTGGATAACTTTCTTATCTTGGATTTTCAAGAGACATATTAAAGTTGTGAAGGAGTTTCTGAAAAGGAACAAACAGTTCCTAAGAAATCAATTTTTGACACTACTTAAAAGAACTAAAAACAATAGTCTTAAAAGTAAAGAGAAAGGAAGGCTAACTTGATTGCTTTGATCAAAGTTAAAATATATATGTTGTATTTCTGGTAGCTCTTAATGGAAATTTTTTGACTAGGACCAAATGATCAGGCTGTAAAGATTTCTTTATAGATAAGATAAGCTATGGAATGAAAAGAGGGTGGGTTCTTTTTGCTGTATTTTAAAAGTAATAAGTGATTGTGTTGAAAATAAAAAATATATAAAATTGATTTATTTGATTGAGGTTATACTATGTATGTTATTAATGGTCTTTTGCTGATTAGGAATGAATGGCAAAGCTTTATAATTTAGAGATAAGAGATGACATATGGGAAGATCTTTTGTTGAAATATCAGAGAAGGTGATAAATTACTGAAATTGTACTTGTCTTGAAGAGGAGAGGCATTTTATTTATGTTTTTTCTTTAAATTTTATTTTATTAAATAATTGGTATGGAAATGTTTAAATTATTGATGATACAAAGCTGTAACATATAGCTGCATAGCACTTACATGTGAAATTTCAGAAAAGTAACTAACAAGAAAAAAAGTATTTCCAGGATAGAATTCTACTACTCAACATTTCTCGAGTATTTTTTTTTAATGTTCTTATCTCATTTTAACTAGTATTATCATAGTTCTAATGCTTAATGTTCCTTAATATTTAGACTTTATTTTTATTTTTCAGTTCCTGATGATGTGTTTGCTCAGAATTACATATGGAAAGGATCCTACAATTATAAAGGCAAAAAGCAACCAATGACTTTGACCATTACTCATTTCAATGCATCATCAGGAAGAGTGAATGCGACCCTTACTAATAGCAATATGGAGTTGTTGCTTTCAGGTAGGAACAACAATTATAATTGTCTATATTTAATTTTCTTAACATGTCTACCAACAGCCTGATACCCATTTCATGGAAGTGATTTCATTGTAACATCACTTCATAGTTTTGGTGTTGGATATTTTCAAGACAAACTTATTCAGGTAGAATCTCACTGCTTCATGTGATTTCGTATGGAGCGATTGTGCTTTACACCCACACTGAAAGTGATAGCACACTCAACACTCAACACATTCAAATGTCTCTCCTAAAACAGTTTCACAAAATGGAAAGTGCTTGGAGCTGTCTGATGGTAGTAGCAGTTTTAATTATAGTTTAATTAAGAGTTTGTTGATATTAGTCCTACAAGTATTTTGCAATTGTTCTGTTGTGAGATGAATCATGAGATGACATAAAAATCTTTAAGAATGCAGCATAGATTCATCATTTTATTTCTTTTTCTCCCTTATGCATAGAAGCTAGCTGTATAGCATTAGACCTGCAACTCTCTTTTAACACTGAACTGGAAAGTCAATAAAATATCTAGATCTGCATTAGGTTCTCATAATAGATTATGGCGCATAACGTTCAATAAAGAGGCTTTTTTGATTCAGGATAATAATAACCACAACCTCCAATCAATGTCAACCACACTGACATTTTCTGTTTCATTGGAGCTCTTATTACTTATGAAATTTAGATTTGCAGAAATTCTTATGTTGAAAGGTGTTATTCAAGGGTGACTATTTCTGAATTGACATGTTTAGAATTGCACTGCCAAATATGCTAATCACAGGATTATATCTTCTATTCCAAACAGTAGTACCATTTAATGGTTATTGAACAAATAGACATATGAACCCACACTTGACTACTTAGAGAAGATTGAGATGAACAATTACTTCAAATATTTTATTCTTATGTAAAAGAGAAAGCACAGTTTGGTATATTTGAGTATTTAATGGTCTGTAATTTCCTGCATCAAACTACATTTTAGAGGACATTAGAGATAATGATTCTGTGAAAAACATTAAACAAAGTAAAATCAAAACAGGTTGTCAAAGATTTGGGATAGTTGTTTGTGAATGGATATTCGCATGCATGCATGGATGATCCATACACATAATATCTGGACAAATAAGTATATAGGAAAACTCTAGGGCAGGGATGTCAAACTCAAGGCCTGAGGGCCAGATCTGGCCCATGGAATGCTTAAATCTGGCCCGTGGGGTCGGCCTGGAAATAGCAAATGACCATCTTGCGGTGTGCTAGGAAAAATGGATGCAACAACCCCCTGTACCCCATTTTTGACCTGGGTGGCCTCCTTCAGCACCCTGACCTGGATGGCCTCCTTCAGGACCCTGTCAACCAAAATAGGAGCAGGGATCTGTGCAACCCCCCCATGTCTCATTTTGACTGCCAAGGTGCTGCCGGAGACTGTCCAGGCTGAAAACAGGGCACAGGTGGCCACATACAGTCTCCCGCACCCCATTTTGGCTGACAGGGTGCTGCAGGAGGTGTCCATCCCATCTTTCTCTCCCTGCTCCCCCCCCCCCCCCCCAGCCAGCCTGCAGAGGAGAACTCCAATGCTGATCTCTCAAAGAAATCCAGTTTGACACCCCTGCTCTAGGGGTTTCAAAATAGCATGTTAAGCCTTTGATAGGCTGGAGACATTTTGTGACCTAAGAGAATAGATCTATTTTGGTCATCATATGATTTCACAGGCCTATTAAATGAAGACCAACCTCTTTGTAATTGATGTATGTGTGGATTTTTTTTTTTAAAAAAAAGTTCATTAATATGTGAATGATGATGTCTTTGAAAGATAGAGAGAAGGTCCACTACTAAGGCAATGATCAAGTAAACAGAACAAGAAATGAGGGGTCCTTGGTGGTTTGGTTTGGTTTTTGGAGGTAACATCATCAGTGCGAGTAGGGAATGGGATTTGCTCTCTGTTTATATTCTAGTGGTTTGCCCTGTCAGTGTTGGTGGGAGTGATCTTGATGGTTCTTTGGTTAGGATATTTACTATTAATTTGTTTGGCAGTTCCTTAATTGGGATACAGTTTACTTCTTGATTGTTGGTCCGATGTTAATTTATTTATTTATTTATTTATTTTATTTTTGTCAATTGCTTACAAGATAATAGGTATAAGTAAAAACATAGTTATGAATACATGGATACATATAAGAAAAATAAAAAATAAAAGAAACAATAGGACAGGGATGGTAGGTATGTTGGTGCGCTTATGCATGCCCCCTACAGACCTCTTAGGAAAGGGGTGAGTTCAATAGTAGACAGTCTAAGGTTAAAGTTTTTGGGGTTTGGGGAAGAAACCACAGAGTCAGATAGAGTATTCCAGACATAGACCACTGTGTTGCTGAAGACATATTTCCTGCAATCAAGTTTGGTTTGATTAACTTGGAATTTGTATCTATTGTTTGTTCTTGTGTTGTTATGATTGAAGTGAAGTATTCATTGACAGGTAGGACATTGCAATGTATGATTTTATATACTATATTTAGATTTGACCGAAGGAGGCATAGTTCTAGGTTTTCTAGGTCTAGAATTTCAAGTTTGGTGGCATAAGGTATTATGTAACGAGTAGAGGAGTGGAGAACTCTTCTTGTGAAATATTTCTGGACTTTCTCAACTGTGCTAATATCAGATACGTAATGTGGGTTCCAGACTGATGAGCTGTATTTGAGTATTGGTCTAGCAAATGTTTTGTATGCTCTAGTTATTTGTGTAATTTTACCAGAGAAAAAGCTACATAAGATTAGGTTAACAACTCTTAACACCTTTTTGGCTATGTAGTTACAATAGGCTCTAGCAGATCATTAGAGATGAGTACTCCAAGATCCTTGACAGAGTTTGGATCATCAACAAGGTCTTGACTATTCAGCTTGTATTTTATTTTCTGATTTTTTTTGCAATATGTAGGACAGAGCATTTATCTGTTGAGATTTGAACTTGCCATTTGTTTGACCATTCTGATACATAGCCAAGGTCTCTTTGAAGGGTAGCAGTATTGTCGGTGGTGTTGAATAGCTTTACATCATCAGCAAAGAGAACGCAGTTGCTCTTGATATGATCACAGAGGTCATTTATGTAGAGTATGAAAAGAGTTGGTCCTAGAACAGTGCCTTGGGGGACACCACTGTTGACAGGTACAGAATTTGATAGGACGCTCCCAATTTTGACCATTTGTTGTCTGTTTGACAGGAATGCTTCTATCCAGTTATGCAGGTGTCCAGAGATACCGTAAGATTTTAGTTCGTCGTGTACCACTGAATCAAAGGCTTTACAGAAGTCTATGTAGATTGCGTCTATTGCTTTGCCCTGATTGAGTTGTGTAGTCCATATGTTTTTGCAGTATAAGAGTTGCAGAATACAGGATAGTTTTTTTCCTGAAACCAAATTGTTTATTAGAGAGTAGGTTGTTTGTTTGTAAGTGGAGAATGATGGATTGGTTAATCTTGGTGTTAACCTCTGTTCATCTGGGTATTGACTGCTGATGGGAAGTGTTTTGTCTTTTTATTCCCTGATTGTTTCTTTTGAATGGTATGTAAATATTGTTTATGTCTATGTGCCTGTTGATGGCTGATTTCTCAGAGTGCAAGGCTTTCAGGAATTCACTAGCATTTTTGGATTTGGCTTGGTTTGGATAGTTACAGTTTCACAGTTGACACTATGATTAAATCTGCAATGTGTTGTGAAATTAAAGAATGTTCATCATGTTTTCTAACTACTAGTTGGTGTATTCTTGTAGCCTTCTGCCTGTTTCTCCTACAGACCAAGAAAGTGGTGTGTGAAAAAGGATCGGATAACTATCTCTCCCCCAACTCCCCAACTCTCATGAAATTAGGGAGAAAAGAGAGAAATTAGGAATAATGTTCAGACTCCCAAGATTCTGTTACTATAGTTGTTCTAATAAAAAGTACCTTCATGGTTGTAACAACTTAATATCTTCTTGACAAACTGAAAATGTGTATGAATACTTAAATGTTTTTGTCCCCTACTTTTTAAAAAAAAACTCAAATTGGAAAGATATTAGATATAAGAAAATCATATAAATTTGCAAAAATTAGGTATCTTACCATGGAATTAAAGAGCATTGAAGCAACATTTCTTTTAAAGGAATCCAGCAGGAACCAGGAAATTAGTTTAATTCTTGCACTATTAACTAATCCCCAATACATTGGTGGAAAGCATGACTAATTTAAAATTATTATAAAACCTTGTATAAAAAGAATCAGCATGTCTTCTATGAAGGAAAATCATGTGCCAACATTCTTGGAATATTAAGAAATATGTGGATAGGATAGTCTAAGTAGACATTATACACGGATTAACTAATTTGATTATTGGTAGATTCATGACTGAAAAAGATCTCTTCATCAGACATTCATAAATTATTCCATTCACTTGGAATATTGCATCCATTTTTTATCACCATGATATAAAAAAGTTGTTGAGACTCTATAAAGAGTGCAGAGAAGAGTAACAAACATGATTAGGGGACTGCATGCTAAAACCTATGAAGAACGGTTGCAGCAGTTGGGTATGTTTAGTTTAATGAAAATGAGGACTAGGGTGACATGATAGCAGTCTTCTGATTTCTAAGGGGCTGCCACGAAGAAGAAGGGATCAACCTATTCTGAGCACATTTCTTAAATCAAGTAATGCATTGCAGATGCATTTTTAAATAAAAAATGGTGCAGTAGGCTTTTTGAGCGCAGGTATATTTTGATTAAGAAAAAAGCACCAATACAGGTAAACAATGCATTACAGCTAGCATCTAGAATTACACACAGTTAAATATAGTCTTTTTTCAGGAAGGTTGATTAATCACAGGAGATCTATTTATAAAAAGAGAGGCATATATTTTTGGAGGAAAACCTGTGAATGTTGTAGAGAAAATTGTCAGACATGTGTTAGAGTTTATGATTTCAGATCAGGCACATGCAACAATTCTTCTTTAAAAAATCTAAAAAAAGAAATGAGTCATACAGTTTAAATGTATATTTAAATTATTTTGTATGTCCATTTATATATTTTAATGGAAATGGAATTCTAGCAATATTTTAAAAAGTAATCTTCAAGAATAATTCAACATCTATTGTTGTTCTATATGCACAGAATCTCAATACAGAGAAATTTTACTTAGTAAATTTACATGCTGCCCATTTCACTGTCAGGCTCTAATTGTAAATTATGCACGGCTACTTTTTGTTTGTTTGGTTTTGATTTTTTTTTCATAACAAATTGTGAACTGTTGCTAATTTGTATGCTATCCTTTAACTATGACAACTATACTTGACAGCTAACATTTGGATTTTCCCATGCACAGACATCTGGATTCTTGGAAACTGCTACTTTCCAAATGGAAACTTTCCAGAAATGTAATTTCTGAATTAGAAGGATGCCTCAAAGCAGCATTGGATGGCTCCTTATGCAAGTCAATTTGCTGTTGAACCTTGCAGTGTCTGCAAGTGCTCAATCATAATTTGCCAAAAAGAATAATCCAAGGAATTCTTCAAGGAAGATGATTCATTCATCCTGTTAAAACCTGTCAGTTTAATTTCAGCTTCCAATCTTTTCCTGAATGGAGTAATTCATTGGCAAAGAAAGGAGACATCTGATTATAGCTGGATATCTGCTTCTCTTTGGGCAGTTAAACTTAGATATGGACTATACTGAGAAGTACCATCAAAATGCAATGTTGCTGTAAGGTCTGATATTGCACTCAACAATCCTCAGAAGGATGGAAGGCTGAGTCAATCTTGAGCCGTTCAGAATCAACAAAATTAACTGCCCAAAGAGAAGCAGATATCCAGCTATAATCAGATGTCTCCTTTCTTTGCCAATAGTGCATTGTAACCACTGCACTAGATCAGATACGAAATACCTTATAAAGGAAGTGGCTATTTTAATATCTAATGAGAGTTGCCCCAGTGATATAGAAATTGTTTCTTAAACTTAAACTTGGAAGACATTCTTTGAATTGATCCTCAGGATAGCTAAGGACAGGGGTTTTGTTGGTTTGAAACCACTCAAATTTACTAGCTAAACAAGTATCATACCTATTTATAAAGAAGATATTGATACACATTCCTAGGATGACATGTTGAAATATAAATCACATATTTTAAATGGATAATTATTTAAAGTTGTACTACATTTTTCCCAACATACCTTTGTGAAAATGCATTTTCCCAACATACTTTTGTGAAAATGCATTTTGAACACAACCAACAGCCAAATAAAAACAGATTAGATATTATGATGATTTAAAGACATCCTTAAATAAACCTTACTTCAGACATACCATATGTAAACAAGTTAATTGACTATGTATCATCAAGTTCGTGTTGACTCTTAGTAAATTGATATATAGCCTTTTTTCCAGGAGCATCTGGTCCCAACTTAGTCTTTCAGGTTTTCCAGTGGTACATCTATTACTGAAATTAAATCCATCCATTTTGCTATCCTTATCACCCCACAGGTTTCATTGGTCTTAGTCCTGGTTTTTTTCCAAGGTGAAAGCATCAGGGATCCACCTAATCCTTTTCTCAAGTAAAGTATGATTTATGGCCTTGTTCTAAATGTACAGTAACTATCCATTAGAACTGTTGAAACATACTGGTCAAGGTATCCTCTCTGCAAAGTGGAGAAATTATAGTTTAAACAATTATAGTTTTAACATGGAGGTTGAGAATGTTGTTTGGTCTTCTAAATCTACTATTTTTGGTTTTCTAAATCTATTATAGTAGATAGTAGTCTAATAGTAGCCTAAATCTACTGTAGTGGATTTAGAATATAATCTTAGTATTTTGCTGAGCATCAATGTGTTGGCAATGAATATTGAACAAGGGGCTTTTACATGATTTTTTGTTTATCTGTATACATGTGGGTTTCAATTTTTCCCTTTCAGTTTTCCTGAACCAAATTGAAATTACCCTTTGTAAATGAAAACACCAATGCATACCTATCTTTAGCTCAGAACTACCTGTCATTTTACTATCTTATTTTATTATTTCCTTATATCCTGGATTTCTTCCTGAATTAGAGAGAGGGGGGGGGGGGAGAGGGGGGGGGAGAGGGAGGGGGGGGGGGGGGGGAAATGGATGGATGGATGGATGGATGAATATTATGTGGGGAACTTGGGTAGTAAGCTTCCATTGATAAGTGGGAACCTGTACCCGAGATTTTCAGATTCAAGTATAATCCAGGTTTAACACAGCACCATAATGTCTTTAATCTTTTTTCACCATTATTATTACAGTGTACATAAACAAAAGTCTCTGTTTTTGTTTCCATGGACCCTTTATTTTCTTTCCTTGAATAAAATCAAATATAAGCTAAGATACAGACAATTAGCAATAACTGGTTAGAAGAAAACTTATTAGATTGTGTGTGCACAGTGTCTCTCTCTCTCTCTCTCTGTGTGTGTGTGTGTGTGTGTGTGTGTGTGTGCGCGCGCGCGTGAGCGCAGACATATAGATATTACATTCTGTTCAATCATGTCCAATTCTTAACAATTCCCCGGGCAAATCCTTGCTGTTTTCTTAACAATGTTTTTCAGAAGTGGTTTGCCAATGCCTCCTTTCCTAGGGAAAGTGATGGATCAAGGTCATCAAGTTGGCTTTGTGCTCAAGGTATCAGGCCTCCTGGGTTTTGCCTGATGCCTTAATCACCATCTTAAATTGGGTCTTGTAGGTGTTATGCTTACTGAAATAACCTTCTAAACTGTTGATTCACAACATGCAATTAAATAAATAGGCATGCTTTTTTTAGTTACCTAAAGAAATATAAATATATAAGATATAAATATAAAGACATAAATCTTTGACCCTTGTGCCTCTCCTTGTGCAAAGATTGTCTAAAGAGGATGGCTTTGGTTTTATTTACTCAGATCAACGATGTTTATGTTTTACAGGGTTGTATAAAAGTCAAGAAGCCCGTTTAATGCTCCATATATATCTCATTAAAGCACCATACCATACTTCTGCAAACAATCTGAAAGAGGACAAATGGGCAATGGATGGCTTTGTGAGTATACTTCTGGCAAAATCCAATGTGTCTTAATAAAAAATGATGACGTGCATGAGACCAGAAAGAAGTCATTTTTTAAAAAAATGAAAGTTTGATTAGGAATTAAAAATGAAAAATAGGCTTACACAGGCACTTGCTGACAAGACAAGAACAAATGTTGATATTATAGGTTAGTGGCATTCTTAAAGGTCATGGGAAATGCCATTGATTGGATTCAAAGGTAGACTAGCATGCAGGCAAAAAAAAAAACAGCAAACATTATGGATGACTGCTTTCTTTCTTGCCAATAAATTTGTATTAGAAAACCGTGTCCTTACATATTCATAGAACGGATACACGTAGAACGGGTACACTAAGTTGCATTTCTATATCATGGTATACATGCTTTATACTTACCAGGACGCAGTGCAAGATTGATTAATAAGGAAAGATGTAACACAACATTACAATTAGAAAATGAGAATAATAGTCTAGATTTTCTTTCAAGCACTTATGTCCACATCAAGCAGTGCAGTACTGCATCAGTGATTAGTACTTTGCAAAATAGAAATCCTGATAAATGTGCTTTGGTTCTCTAGCAAAGTATACAGTGCTATTACTTTCTGGATTGATTATAATCCTAACATCATGATAGAAGTGCAAATATATTACAGTTTAATGGATCATATAGAAACCCTACATTTCTTTAAGTGTTTGACAAAAGATCAACATGCATTGTTATTTACAGTATAACTATGTCATAGTGCAATACATATTAATAGATTAGAGCAGAAATATTGCAAAGATAAACTAAAGTGCAATGTGATAAATTTTATATTGGTAACCTAATTACAAATATATTTATTAGTTTGCTTTCAGTTAGTGTTAAAACTGTTAATACTTTTAAAACTTTTAAAAGCTTTCAAAACAAGGAAAAAAGCTAGTAAATTAAAAATAGTGATAAAAAATGGGCTAAACGAAGCACTGAATTTCAATGACAAATAACCGGGGACAGAGATTCTCATCTTTGCAGGTTTTCTAAACGCTGCAAGAGTAGAGGCCATAAGACCTTCCAAAAGGGTGAACTAATACAGAAGAACAATGCTAGAACAATATATTTCTGACTGGAGGGGCATCTTAAATCAAATCAAAGCTAGATTTTTATTTATGGTCAAGACCAAAGAGGAAACTTAAAACATTTTTAAAAGTCTAGATGGCAATATCTATCTGGATTAACTGTTCCAGATTTAAAAAAATGGCTAGTACTTAGAAAAGAAACACCAAGGAATATCAGGGGAAGTAAATACTAATGACAATCACATTCATATTGTCTTTAAAGCTGTTGTGAATCAAACTCATCTAAAAATAGTATTTGCTACTGCAGACACATAAGATTATTTATTAGATGTTGCAATTAGCTATTTTGTGAAACATAAAAACAGACAATTTTTTTCTCTTATTGCTTTGTACATGGTTTTATATACTAATAAAATTATAGCACATTTAAGGCCAGGTAAGAGAAGACAACAAGCAAAGATTTTAAAAATTCCTTGGCTCAACTACCAATAAGAATAGTGGATTTTTCCTTTCTTTCTTTCTTTTCCATATTCTTCAAGTATTTTCAAAACATCTGTTCTAAATCTTCATATACTATTTCCCTATCTTTCCTCTTTGCTTTTTTTACACTGTTTTTAATTTTTTTGAGTATCTTTTAAAATAAAAAAAAGTTAATGCAACTACTTCTAAATCATTATGGAGAAAATCTATCAATGTGATAGTTAAAAATTGACAATGACTTGATGACATATAATCAACTGATCACTTCCAGATCAAAGGAATCTAATATCATGAACAATAACAAAATATATAACTGAATGGTGAAAGTGATTTTTTTCCAGATTGAATGTAATATGTATTTCAAGTTATTACCATGAATATGCATATGCATATTAATTTTACATACCTTTCTTTTTATTATTCTACATAGGTTTCTGCAGAACCTGATGGTGCAACTTACGTTTTTCAAGGATTTATTCAGGGTAAAGATTATGGTCAGTTTGGACTTCAAAGATTAGGTGAGCTGATGCTTTTAATTTAGACATAGTCAAACATAGATGAGCCAATGGAGCCTTCATACACTTAGTGATTCTGATAAAATATTGGAAGGCAATCTATGTATGCATATTTTACTTAATGTGGAGATATTTAAAGATTGGGAAGAGTGATGCTACATCCTTTGCCTCAATAACTGACTCCATTTGAATTATGAATGACTTTTTTTGATAAATTCACTGATACTGTTTCAAGAAAAGCTAATTTCAGTCATAGACTGGAAAATGAAAATATCTGACTTTTTCCCATAGCCAAACTGTACTGAATTAATTTTAAGTTTAGACTCCAAAATATTTTGAAAATGGGATTGTGTTGTCACCAAAGGTACAGTAGGGGTATCTATGGCCAACTCAAGATTTCATCAAAATAAGAAATGTGCATTGTAATGTCATAATACCAAGTGGGTTAGTATGTGCCTAAAGCAGTTGAGTTTGTATGATGATGTTAAAATGCACATTTTGTTACTTGTCCCCTTGCCAATACAACAAACTCTCTTGATGGGCAACCTAGTTAGATTAGATAATGGTCAGTTATGTTTTTAACCAAAGTTCTGCTGATTTCCAGCATCTGGTATTTAGATACACTAAGACTATAAACTATGAATAGTCTCAAATATTAGTTAAATGTATAATTCAGTAAGGTATGATATTTTATTTCATCTTAGTTATGTACAATGGAAATTTTCTTAGATTCTTCTCTCCCAGCAATTTCCATTGTTCATTGTGCAATATGGTTGAAATATTATATTTATTCCTGTACTTAAGTAATTTAATTACAATTTTGCTATTCAAAATTTCATTACAGCAGACATCTACTCACTTCTAAATTGTTGTAGAAAGTTTGTGCTCAAGGGATAGACCATTTCTGTGAGATAGATAGATAGATAGATAGATAGATAGATAGATAGATAGATAGATGATAGATAGATGATAGATAGATAGATAGATAGATAGATAGATAGATAGATAGATAGATAGATAGATAGATAGATAGATAGATAGATAGATAGATATAGAATGTTCTGACCCAAACCTTGCTCCAAGGAAACAAACACGAAACAGAGGTAACAGCAAAACCTTTTAATGATTTTTTATGAATTCTGTTCCTTCATGGTTAAAAGGCTGTTTCAAACTAATTGTCTCTGATAAGAACGAGCCTTGCCAAGGTTGTGCAAGGCTGCCAAGAACACTTTCAAACACAAAGAGCCTCCAAACACCAACCAAGATATCCCCAACGTCCACCAGGTTTGAGTGCAAAAACTTCTTTGCTTCCTGCAAAGAACTCCAGTTTCTCAGCTGGCTTTTATCTCTTAAGGGAGGGGCCATTACCTTGCAGCCTTACTCCTGAGTCGCTTTTGTTGCTACAGCTGCTCTTTCCTTCAAGCAGCCCTGCGCGCACACTCACTGGGCGCAGGCTCCTCGGGGACCTCTTCATCACTACTGCCATCCTCCACAATCTCCAAAGGCAGCATTCCACCCACTGATGGTCCTGGCCTCATCCCTACATCACATGCAAACCCCTCATCTGAGTCCTCGGTCTCCGAGACCTCAGCCGTCCACACCTGCTGCCAGCAAACCATGATAGATAGACAGACAGACAGACAGACAGACAGACAGACAGACAGATGGATGCTAAATGGGTATAAGCAGGTGAAATTGTTTGCCATTTTTCTCCTCTAAAGATGAAAAATGAAAACTATTTTAATATGCTATAGTGGTAGCCCAAATTACTGTATCTGATTCAGAACCTACAAACATAAATGATAAAGTCTAGGTTTATGCTTTCGCTCATCCAAACATAATGTTTTTTTATTAGTCTTTTTAAGGAGAACTCTGGGAGGAATTTTGAAATTTATGTGATTTGCTTTGCTCTACGTTCATGTCTGCTTACCTTTCCTTCCAAATTCCTAAGTACTAATAAAATATAATTGCCTGCATCCATAAGCATATTAAAAAACAGGAGAAATGGGTAAAAGAAAATATTAAACTGTAATTATTAGAGTCAATTTCTGTATAGTAGCATTTTTTCCCTTCTTAATTGAACACTTGTATTGCTAAGTGTACTTATTCCTCAGGCATTAGAATCCCATTTAGCACAAACTGAATGGTCTTCCAAGAAGAATTTGTTATCTTGGCAGTAATCTTCCCTCCCTTTCTGTGTGAGCATTTTTAAGTGTTACCCAGCCCACTTTATAACAGATTTAAAAAGCAAACACAATCTGCATCCATATTGTTTATTTTTGCATAGGTTTTCACTTTTTTTTTTTTGCCTTGATTGGTCCATAACTGACTTCGCCATGGAATTCTCCTGTTCAGAGGAAATCTGCAACTTAGGCTTCCTCCTAGATTCAAAGTTCCTGCTCTAGGAGCAGATATCTGTGGTCAAGAGGCCTATGTACAGTTACAGCTTGTTCGCTAGTTGCAATGGTTCCTGGATTTGAAAGGCCTACATACACTTGTCTGCTAGCTGTAGTGATTTGGATTGGAAAGTCCTACTCAATAGTCACCTCTGCTGTTGTCACATTCCATCTGGATTACTGTAACCCATGGGGCAGAGGTGGTATTCAGCAGGTTCTGACTGGTTCTGGAGAACCAGTAGCGGAAATTTTGAGTAGTTCGGAAAACCGGCAAATACCACCTCTGACTAGAGATTTTACAGCATCTTTCCCCTGCCACACCCACCAAGCCACACCCACAGAACTGGTAGTAAAAAAAATTGAATCTCACCACTGCCATGGGGACACTCTTAACAAGCATTAGGCAGTACAGCTGGTACAAAATACAGCAGACTGGACAGTGATAGATGCATACTTGGGTGACTCTATTGCTTTGGAATGGCATTTGTTTCAGGTTGATTACTACATGCAATTAAAGGTGTTGGTTGTGACTGCTAAAGCCTTAAAAATGGCTGTGGATCATATTCACCAATATTTGTCTCCCCATTTAAGCAATTTCCTTATCTGATTGGGAAATTCTCATCTGTTTGAGAATGTCATCTGATGAGAGCTAGGAAAAGGATCTTTTTAAATGGCATTCCTATGCTTTGAAATTCTCTCCTTATTCCCTTCTGAGTTTCGTGAAAGCAGTTAAGACCTAGCATTTCCATTTAGCCAAAGAAGCAGGCATTTTTTGAATGCAAAACAACTTGTTGGATGCATAACCCACAATTTTTTCCTTTGTTCCTTATAAGGTTGTTGGGATATTGTTTTCTTTCTGGCTGTGGATATTCACTTTTGGAAGAGTTCTTTTTATGATATTTTTAAATGTTAGTCATCATTCCATCAGATGGAATCAGATAGCATGAACCATGTAAGTAAATGAATAAACAAATGGTTAGACACTCAACATGGTGGAAGACAGAAATAGAATGGTGAAGTTGTAAAATTGTGAAGAAGTTTGAAAAGACAAAGAAGGCATGAACTGATTGGACTTCATTTAATTGCCCTTGTAGGAAGAGAAAGAAAGATTTTTACAGAAATAAATGCAAGAAAGATGCTTTAATCACAACTTAGGCAAGGTTTTTATCTAGCCAGTTGTGTTTAATTTGTACAAACTAGTAATTGACTGTTTTCTTCCTGCAAGGCATAATTGTGGGACCTGGTTAAGAGAGTCAGTATAGAGGATGATTACACAACCAAATTGCATATTTCATATCAGAAGTATATGGCTTTGATTGTATAGTCAAAGCCAGTAGTTTGACTTTCTGACCACCCTGATGTTAATTGTATATGTTCATTTCAAACAGATGCATCTCTTGCAGAAGAACTATATTTTGCTATGGAAGCTGTTCAACTGGGAGCAATTTTAATAGATTGCAAAAGAACCTGCTCTTATAAGTGTGGAACCAGGAACAAATTAAGCACTGAAGCCAGTTTCCTGCACCTGGCATTGGGCATGGAGAACCTCACCAAATAGAAGCAGATGATTAATTATCTTCATAACTTAATTTTCCCTAATTTAGATAACCCTGGGCATAAATATGACTTGATGTAATCCTAGTGCTGTTGCAAAACTACTTGGGTGGAAAGAAACCAAATATTTTGATTCATTTTAACCAGGATGATTTTTATCTGAAGCCAGTCATAAATTGTTTTTGTTTTTGAAAGTACTTGACTTCCCATTTTGATTATCAGCTAGAAAGAGCAGGAACTCTCAAATATATGGGTTTCACTTAGTTTAGTTTGCAAATATATGGGTGATTCACTTAGTTTAGTTTGCAAAATATTTGGAAATAGTGGTGCAGTCACATGGTCCAATCAAGGCAGCGTCCAGTGCATTATAGAACAATAAACAAATTGTGCTTTTGTATAATATACATGTATATAAATATTTTTAAATATTTGGAATACATATTTTCCTATGACAGTAGTAACAGAAATAATGTTTATCTTTATTGTTTTGTTTTAACAGGACTTAATATGTCTAAAGGATCAAATTCATTAAACCATTCACATGGTACAAACAGCAGTTCTGTGGCCATTGCTATTCTCGTGCCTTTTTTTGCCCTTATTTTAGCAGGCTTTGGATTTTACCTTTATAAACAAAGGTAGGTGGAATATACATCTATTTTGTATGCACAGTGATATATAATTACACATAGGAGGGGATAGGGGTAGGGAGGGGAAAAAAGATTTAATAAAACTATCATCTGAAACAAATCAGAGATTAAAATTCTGAAATTTTCCCATTCCTTTGTACCTCATGCCTAGGGTTACATACTTTAGTAATCATGTTTTCCACCAACTGTATTATTTTTTGGGGGGGTGGGGAGGACCTAATTATGAAATCCCATTAGGTTCATCCAGCCTCAAATCTGCCTATATCTCTAAAGATTCATTTAGGGAAGCTACCAATTTGCATTAAAAATAATATATATTTAAATAAAATTTACATTGCATATAGGAAACTCAGCAGAATACAGAAACTTTATACATCCCAAAAGGTATTTATAATGTACCTCTCCCTTTTCAGGTACTGATTAAAATGATACATAATAATAAGGAAAAAAATCTTATATTTCAAATTGTTCTGAGTGAAAAGCAAATTGTGATTAGGACAGCAATCATGAAAAAAACAATACTCATCCTAGATTATAATAACCTACATCAATAGGCTGAGTCACAACCCTAACCAAGTTGTGTGTGCATAACAATCTCATCTTGTTCAGGTCATACTGACAGAGGAATATATTTCTTTTAGGGACTCACAACTATTTCTTATAATTCCAATTATCCAATTAGCTGTTCTTGGAGAATGGACTCCTGAAAAGCCACAAGAATTATTCCCAGGAAGCATAGAATAGAATTTCAGGTCAGTTAGTTTTTTTCCTTTGTTTTCAAGGGTGAAAGAGCCTAGGTCTTCGATCACTACTTTACAGATTAACAGAGTTGGAAGAGACCTTGTAGGTCATCAAGTCCACCCCCCACCCATCCAAGCAGGAGACTGTACACCATTTCTGGCAGATGGAAGTCCAGTCTCTCTTGAAAGCCTCCAGTTATAAAGCTCCCACAACTTCTGAAGGCAAGCTGTTCCATTGATTAATTATTCTCACTGTCAGAAAAAAATATCTTTATTTCTAGGTTGAATCTCTCCTTGATCAGTTTCCATCTATTATTCCTTGTCTGGCCTTCGGGTGCTTTGGAAAATAGTTTGACCTCCTCCTCTCTGTGGCAGTCCCTCAAACATTGGAACACTGCTATTATATCTTCCCTAGTCCTTCTCTTCACTAGACTAGCCATGCCACGTACTTACAACTGTTCTTTGTATGTTTTAGCCTCCAGCTCCCTAATCAGCTTGGTTGTTCTTCTCTGCACACTTTCTAGAGTCTCAACATCTTTTTATAGTGTAGCGACCAAAACTGGCTGCAGTATTCTAGGTGTGGTCTTACAAAGGCTTTATAGAGTGGTATTGATACCTCTCCTGATCTTAATTGAACCCCTCTGTAAATGCAGAAGGGTGTTAATAGTTGGTTTAGCTATAGACGCCATCATCACCACTTTTCTCTTCAGCATGATCCATGGACTGCCATTGCTCTTCGCCATAGTTGTGCCTTCAGTTCTGATTGTTTCTTTCCCCAAGAAACTCAGTACAAAATGGTTTTCAAATAAATGTTCTCTACAGAACACAGAAGCAGAACATTGGGCATTTTTCCAATGCCAACTGAGGCCATATTTTCCACTGGCAATGAAATCCAATGTCTTTAATGGTTGGTTTGGAAATAGAAATATTGTTTTCTCCTTTTGCAGTTGGAGTGTTCTCTAATTAATGTTTCCCAGCACACTTACTCTGCTATGACTGTTAAGTTTTAAGTTTTATTTAATTGTTTAAACACGTGGTTTGCAGGAACCAGCTAGAAAACCCTCTACTTGATGACAAAAGCCCATTCTAAACGTTTACTGTCTCTCTTCCCATTAATGGGAACACATTTGAAAAGTAAAAAGAACATCTAAATGGTGTTGACCAGTCTGTACTCTTATGACACAGCTGAACTATTTACCCTTTGAACATCTTATTACTTTCTTCATAACAAAGTCATTTATGAAAAGTATCCCATCTACATTAACTTCCTTTCAAAACTGTCAGAGATGCTTCATAGATAAGGTCATTGTTTCACATTATACCTTTACTTTCAGTTTTTGCAACTGTCGTAAATTACTGCCCTTTAGAGAGAAGCAACATATTCAAATGCCCTGATGCCTTGAAACACTGCAGTAATAATGGCTTTGCTGTGTACTTCACATATTGCCTATATTTCGTTTTTGACATGTACAGTATTGTGAATTGTATTCCTTGTATCATTTATCTTACATAAGCCATAAGTGCCATGAATAGTTTTATTACAGACAGCTGTTGCATAGCCATCATTGGCAATTCAGCTCCTATCAATTTATGCTGTCATTACAGACTTTGTCCAAGATTTATCCTACTGTTCTCACCTGGGAGATAGTTGTGCATAAAATACCTAAACCAATGTCAAGATCCTTTGATCGATCTTCTTCCAGTTCATATAAAATCTTGTGTGTTTTTGTGAACGTTTGAGTCCTATCAGATATGAGTAATGAGGTAGGCTAATGTTTATAAATGTAAGCTTCCACATGAAAATGTGCAGATCTACTGTAGAATATAAAATAATGAGGCCATGGTGGCTTAGTTATTAGAATGCAGTACTGCAGGGTATCTTTGCCCACTGCCAAGAATTTGATCCCAACCAACTC